ACCTCTGCTAGTTTGAGAAAATTTTTATCTCTACTTCATAATTTAAGGATAACTATGCACGATATTGTATTCTTGGATGACAGGTTTTGGTTTTTCTTTTAGCATAGTGAAAATGTTGGATCCCCTCCTGTGCTGTTGGGGTGCTGTTGAGAAGATTGTTGCAGGATTAACCGCAGCTACTTCCTATGCTATTTGCTTCTTTTCCTACATGCTTCTTTTGGAATCCTCTCTTGGTCCTTCATCTCTGAGAGTTTGATTATTAGATACTTTAGGGGAATCATAAGAGGGATAGAATGTGTTCTGTTTTCTCTAACCTACATATACTTAGTTATTTACATCTTTCTCAAGCTTTGGAGTATTTTCTGTTACTATATCTTTGCATAAGCTTCTTACCCCTTGCTCTCACTCAATTCCTTCTTGAGCATCAGTGAGTCTTAGATTTAGTCTTTAGAGTTCATTTTTTTAATAAACCTTATTGTCTGCAATCTTTATTGCTTTTCATTCTTACTTTGTTTTTCTTCTCTAACTGTATTTTCAGATAGCTTGTATTTGAGCAAGCTGCAGTTTTGAATTCTTGTTCAGAGAGCTTACATATTGCCACCTTGTTCATGTTAGTCACTGGTTCCTTACTAAGTCCATTTCAGGTCATAGTTCTCTATTTATTGCTGTTTCTCATGGATATATCTATATCTCTACATGGACAAACTCAAAATATTCTAATTCTGTTATTGTGGTGTACAATTCACTCACAGTTCTAGTATGCAGCCCAGTAGACATCTATCAAAAACAAATATAACCAGTATAGTAATATGTTAAGAGATAAATAATAAAAATTGGGTAAATTTAGATAAATAAAAGTGAAAATGGGGGGCATGGGAGCAAAGTGCTATTTTTTTCTTTGTTTCCATTGTTTCTCTGTGGTCTACCACAAGCTATAGTCTCTTTGAAAAACTTGTTATATCTATAACATGTTTTTTGTAAGCTGCTGGGTAATAACAACACAAAAACACATAACAGATTCACTCATAGTAAACAACAACAAATTTAAAACATACTACTAGAGAAAATAATTTAACCACAAAGGAAGAGAAATAAAAAAAAAAAAAAATGAAGACAAGAAAACAAAGACTTGGCTGGTGGCTGGGCACTAGCACCCGGGGAGGCCAACGCAGGTGGATTGCTAGAACTCAAGGGTTCTAGACAAGCCTGAGCAAAAGAAAGACCCCTGTCTCTAATCAAATAGAAAAACTGAGGCAAGAGGATTGCTCAAGCCCAAGAGTTGGAGGTTTCTATGAGCTATGATGTCATGGCACTCTACTCAGGGGGACTGCTTGAAACTTTGCCTCAAAAAAATAAAAAAAGAAAGAAAAGAAAAGAAAGAGTTAAAATCAACCAGAAAATAAGCAGCAAAATGCAAGCAATTCTGTATCTACTTACCATTCATAACAGTGAACGTACATGAACTTAATTCTTTAATTACGGAGCCTAATGGATAAAGAGAGAAGATCCAGGCTGGGCACAGTGGTTCACGTGTGTAATCCCAGCAATTGGGAGGCAGAGGTGGGTAGATTGCCTGAGCTCACAGGTTTAAGACCAGCCCGAGCAAGAGAGAGACCCCGCCTCTAAAAACAGCTGATTGTTATGGAGGGCACATGTAATCCCAGCTACTCAGGAGGCTGAGGCAAGAGAATCATATGAGTCCAAGAGATGGAGGTTGCTGTGAGCTATGACACCATATCACTCTACCAGGCATGACAATGTGAAATTGCCTTAAAAAAAAAAAAACAACTATATGCTACCTACAAGTTACTTCACCTACAAAGACATACAGAAACTGAAAGTAAAGAAGTGGAAAAAGATATCCCATATAATTACAAATCAAAAAAGTACAGGAACAGCTAAATTTAACATCAGAGAAAATGGACTATAAATAAAAAATTATAAAAAAGAGAAAGGTTAGTATATAGTGACCTTATCTAGGGTCATTCCAGAAAAATGATATAAAAATTACAATTATCTATGCACCCAGCACCAGAACTCCCAAGTACATAAACATCAACAGATGATAGAGCGACTGTAGTACAATGATAATAGGGGACTTTTAATGCCTCAGGCTCAGTAACAGATGCAATGATATTTCAACATCAATAAATCAATAAGCCTTATACATCACATCAACAGAACTCAGAGCAATAACCATATGATCATTTTAGTAAATACAAAAATAATCTGAAAATATTCAATATCCATTTATGATAAAAACTCCCATCAAACTGAATATAGAAGGATCATCCCTAAAACTAACAAAGGTCATATGTGACAATCCCATACTAATACTGTACTGAACAGGGAAAAATCAAAGGCCTTTCCCCTAAAATCTGAACAAGGCAAAGATGCCCACTTCCATCACTTTTATTCAACATAATATTGGAATGAACAGAAAGGCAACAGAAAGTACAAAAGGGAAAGAAATGAAGGGCGTCTAAATTAGAAAGGAAGAAATCAAATTAGACTTGTTTGCAGACAGTATGATCCGTTACTTACAAAATGTAAAGATTCCACCAAAAACTGTTAGAAATGATAAGTGAATTCAGTAAAGTTGCAGGATACAAAATTTGACATACAAAAATCAGTAGCCTTTATGTACTTCAACTATGAGTAATTTGAAAAAGAAATCAAGAAATCAATCCTTATGACAGTCACAAAAATATAACATACTTGAAAATTATTTTAATCTAGGAAGCAAAAAAAAAAACTATACAAGGAAAACTGCAAAATGCTGCTGAAAGAAATGAAGAGGACAAAAATAAAAAAAGGAAAGATATTCTATGCTGATGGTGAGAAATTACTGATACTGTCAAAATGACATACTAACAAAGCGATTATCATATTCAATGACATCTATATCAAAATACCAAAGAAAGATATTCTTCAAAGAAATAGAAAAAAAAATACAAAAATGTATATAGAACCACAAAAGATTCTGAGCAAAAATGATAAAGCTGGAAGCATCACATTACCTGACTTAATTTACTATGAACCTATGGTAACCGCCTCAGTATGGCATTGACATAAAAACAGACACACAGATCATTGAAAGTGAATATAAAACCCAGATATAAACCCACAGATTTATAACCAACTTCTTCAACAAAGGCACCAAGAATATACAATGGGGGAAAGACAGACTATTCGATAAATAGTACTGGGAAAACTGGATAAACTAGACACAGAAAAACAAAACTGGACATCTCCAGTATCTCTCACTATAAACAAAAGTCAAATCAAAATAGATTAAAGACTTAACTGTAAGACCTGAAAATATGAAACAACTAGAAGAAAAAACTTTGAGGAAATGCTGAAGAACATAGTTTGCAATAATCTAGACTATTTCAAAATAGCTAGAGGAAATAATTCAAATGGTTCTAGCATAAAGAAAAACATTTAATGTGCCAAATATTTCATATCCCAAGCATACTGTTTTTATAATGGAAAATAATACATTAAATCATCCCAAATACCCTCAAACTATGTACATCTATTTATTATACATCAATAAAATAAATTTAAATAATTGACACCATAGAATCTGACATCACCATGCCATTCCGAATAAAATACAGATTCTAGTAATACTTAGTTTAGAACCACTCAAACTAGAAATTGAAGAGTCACCAGGACATTAAATGTCTTCCGTGCCTGGTCAGAGACAACTAGAACTGCATTTCATAGGAAGCAGATACTGAGTCTGTCATTAGCTCTCCCGTATCCAGAGAATAGACAAGTACTAATCTGAGAAATAGTATCAATCTATCTCATATTTAAATTTATGATTTAAGGAAATAATCTTTGATTTAAGACTATAACTGGCTAATTAATCAAGTTCCATAAAAAGGACACATTTTTGTTAATATTTGAACCACATTTCTCCAAGATCTTTCTACCATATTTCACTACTATATACAATTTTCATGTACATGTTTATGACCTCTCAATTTCAATATTGGCAATACCATAAAGTAAATCAAATAATGTCTATTTCAAAAACATGTATGATGTACCTATTAAAAATGTTCCTTTATTGCTACAGAGTATGTTTAACTCCAAAGAATACAAAAAAAAAAAAAGAAAATGACATGCCCAGAAAACCTCATCTGAAAATCTGCTGGGTTGTAACAACTTTATCCCTGTTTTACATAATTAGAAGCAGAACATTGTAGTTAATTATATTTACTAGGATTTATCACATTGGAAGACAATTGGTAAACTAGAGCATTTATTTCTGTAATCTTTATTATTAAGATAATTATATGGTCCTTGCTTCAGTTTCACTATTTAGAAAGCAAATTATCAGCCTGAATGTTTTGAGTTTCCATTTTAGCTTCTTTCATTTATTTGGAAAAAGAAGAAAAACTCTTTTACCCATAGAAATTTCTGAATATAATTGATGAAACCATGCCACTGAATGCTATATTTTATAACCAATGACCTACTAGGAAAAAAGTAAAGAAAGATATTACACTAAGAATATAATTATTTTTATAAATATCTTGACTGTACCACACTAGAGGTTATAATCCAAGAATCTAATAAACACCACGTTGCTTTCCTAGTTAGAATAATTCTCTGCTGTTTGGCCAATGTTATATATTTAGTATAATTAATTCTACCCCCCCATAAGAATATACATTTGAACATGAACCAAAACATCCAGTGGGTGTGCATGTTGAGACACATTTAATTCATTTATCTGTTAAATAAATGACTAAAATATTTTATTATGTTTCCCACATTCAGAGAAGAAAAATGCTGTAGCTGTTTTTTGGAAATATCCCTATCATCATACTTTCAAAGAATTTTTCTGTCTTATGTCAGTATCATGAGTTTGTGTATACTTACACAATGAGGCTCTGAACAGTGACTTTATAAAAGGCAGAGAATAAGTCTTATTTACATCATTTGTTCTTAATTCTATGAGAACAAAGTATAAATTATAGTACCTTTGGGTATTGTTTGACAGGAATTAATACTCTTTCTGAGAGCTTTATGTTTTTGTTGCTGATGACATCGAGATATTTTTTTTCTTCATCTTCCTTTTTTCCATCAGAACCTTGAAATTTTTCAATTTCTGGAAAAAAAAAACACAAGGAAAAAATAAGCGAAATGAAAAGAACAGTCAACATAAACATACTGACTGTTAATATTACTCCTCTTTTCAAAAAGGATCTTAAAGAATCTCGATAAAAGGCCTGAAACAGCATTTTTCTGACAGCTGTGGGACTGCTGCTACTATATACAAATCAGATGACTTCTGTCAACTAAAATTAAAAAGTGATCATTGAAGATGTGACTGCATTTTATGCCGTATATATGATAATTCAATTATTTTTATTATCTTCAAACAAAATATAAGGAAAAAATACGTCTTTGACTATTTAAAATATCTAAGCAAACATAACTTTCCCAGGAGCAATGACTTGCACAAAATATCCTATCAGGTTATATGTTTTATTTTTATTCAGAATTATGTTTTAGGAAATAAAAATAATTAAAAATTTGAATAATCCAGTTATCTAAAATAAATGTAAGAAGAAACTACATAGTATTTTATATTCTAACCAAATTTGAAAGCAATTTAAAGGGGATCACGGTAAAGTTATATAAAATATTAAAGCTATTAATGCTATCATTCAGTATCATCAATATAAAATTATTTTTCTAGATGCTTGAGAGGAACGACAGTAAAATCTCTATAGCTGATCACTTCTTAAATTGATCTAATTTTCGTAGACTGGACGTGAGCCGCACTAGCGTAGGCCTAGCTCCTTATGCTCACCATCTCCCTATGTTGATCACTTTGTTACAGTCCCTTGGGTGATCAACTTACAGGGATCTACCATATTAGATTTGATCTATTGGAATATAAACAAAATGTATATTTTGCGCCTAGATACACTATGCATCCATTCCTTCATTTTTAAATTAATTTATTCCATAAACATTTTTAAACCTCTACTACTATGGATACTGGCGACACAATAGAAAACAGTCTCTGCTTTTATGGCATTTACATTATAATGCAGAAAATGAATAATGATAAAAGGAATGTATGTGCACATACATATTTAATGGGTGGAAGCACAGAATAAATTCAATATAGCTATTCATATAAAGGAAGCTAGAGTCAAGGGGTGGGACTATTATTTTAATTTGTAGGGTGATATTTCAGCAAGCCCTGAATTGTGAGAAAGAGTAAACCATGAGAAAATCAGGAAGCAGAATTTAACAGAGTGATGTAACAAATTTCACTTGCCTTGGGAACAGTAAGAAGCAAGAAAGCCTATGTGGAGGAAGAACCAAATTTAGAGAAAAAGCTTGGTGGGCGGTTATGGGACAGATCATGTAGGAAGATTGGGGGCTAAACAACATTTTCTGTTTTTTATTGTGAATATAATGGGGAGCTATTGGACTGCTCTGGGGGTGGGGAGAAAGGCAGCCATGATTCTTATCTGTAACGATTTTATACAATATACAAAATCAGCCACAGGCAAAGGCAAGCAAACAAAAAAACCCAATTATGTTTCTGTGGTTGAGAAATGACGTGGAGTAGGACTAACAAGTGGCAATGAAATGTTAGGAGAATGTACAGTTCCAACCAACGTCACTTCGCAGAATTCACTATGGAAACCGAATGTTCAGAAGATTATTATAAATTCATTTTGCTCACGGTTTCATGTCTATTGAACAGTTAATATGACCATACAATCATCTGTAAATAGTGGGTTTTTTCTTGCTCTAGGTCAATTGCAGTTTACTATAGTTGTTTTTTTTGTTTTTTTTTTTTTTTTGTTATGGATAGAACAAAAGCATTTTGTTTCAGTTTCAGTTATTTTGAAGTAGATAAAAGTTGATGATAGTCATCAAGTTTGAAAATTTTTCATGCCAATTAATTTATATTGCAACTTAAAACAATTATTTTTAAAAGGTCTGTTTACTTTGAAAGATAAGAGGAATACTATATTGTATGTAATAGTTTTGTTTTCTGTTGTTGCATTTTTAAATAACATCTCCAAAAATGATTTCACACAGCTTCTAGAAAAATCTCTCCAACAGGCTCAGCACCTGTGGCTCAAGTGGCTAAGGCGCCAGCCACATACACCTAAGGTGGCAGGTTTGAACCTAGCCTGGGCCCACCAAACAACAAGGATGGCTGCAACTCCCCCCCCCCCAAAAAAAATAGCCAGGCGTTGTGGTGGGCGCCTGTGATCCTAGATACTTGGGAGGCAGAGGTAGGAGATTCGCTTGAGCCCAGGGGTTGGAGGTTGCTGTGAGCTGTGATGCCACAGCACTCTACCCAGGAAGACAGTTTGAGGCTCTGTCTCAAAAAAAAAAAATCTCTCCAACATTCTGGGCAGTAAAATTTTAGCATACTATTTAACGGGGCTGTATGGCATCTAAAACAATCTTTCTGAAGTAATGTTACATTGTTTACTAGGTAGCATCTGGGTAAAAGATAGACTGCATTGTTTGTACAGACTCATTTATAAACATGTTATCAGTTATATGGTATAATTTCTCTATGGATAAATATCTTAAAATGAACTGAATTGTTTGAAAAGACATATAAGCCTATAATTTCTACCTGGCGCGATAGTCTCATATTCTTACGTTCCCACTCCTAAGTACTAAGCCACTTTAACTGACCAGCACTCTTTATTTCAAACTTTCAATTCCTCAGATCATTACAATAACCAGAGCTATGACAGCTACAAAGAAAAAATATTCATTATGTCATGATACTAACTAAGAACTTTGGATCACTGGCCAATGGGTATAGATGGGTTTGCTGAGGCACTTGCAATGTGGGACACTGAAGATGACCCAATTCCCAATCTGTTACATGTATAGCTTCTCCCTTGTTATTTGTTATGAAAGGAAATTGAACTTGTCCACCATTATTTGCTCTCCACAAAACTCCTACCTTGGACTTTTTCAGATATTTACAATTCAACCAACATAGGATTAATTCTAATAACTTTCTCATCATGAAATGGAGCTAACTGAAAATAACATTTCCATTGTTCTTTCTGGTTATTTCTATAATTTTTGTTTGAAATTTTTGTTATTTCTTTTGCCCTCCTGACACTTTGAGGGCATTATCTTGTCTTCCCTGACATATCTACATGACTAACAGCTCAGTAGTTGTATTTGTCAAATCCATAGTCACACAATGGTATACTATATGCCAAACTTGCCTAATTATAAAGCTAACAAAAACCAATGTATAAGCACCTTTCCCATTTAAATTTTCATTTTAAAATATATCTCATTTATTCAATAATTAAGGTACATGGAAATTAATCTTTGTGGAACATTTAAACAATATAGGTACAATAAAAATTCACAGATATCCATAACATGATCACCAAAACAAAAACTGAATGGTATTGTTGTAAAGGCATTGAGTCATTTTTCTACACTTGTTTATATGTTATCTAATTAAATTTGGTTATCATATTATTAGGAAAACATATTCAATATGTTAGGGAAGGTTTATCTTTCCTTGAAAAAGTATTCAAACTACAGAGATTTTGGTATTTTCTGGTTTCCCATTACTAGTTATGTGTTAATGCATATTTTCATTCAAGAATTTATTTTAGTATTCAGTGACTATATTTGAAGTGGCTATCAGCATAGTATTAGAATTATGCAGAAATTACAAAAGTGCCAGTTTTTGGTAATGTCTACATTTATCTTATACCATTTCAACCACTGATTTAAGTCAGATGGAGGTTATCATAAGGAGATAGTGGTATTTTGAATAAAATTTTTAGTTCTCCTGTTGCCTAGGCCCTTATACACTTTTCTTGATTGTATTTTCTCTTGATTGATTTTATAATTTAAAATTTTTTCAGTTCCATACTTAATTCATTTGTACATTTTTGTAGATAAAAATATTGAATGCTATGAATGTTCCTTAGAAAACTTCTTTAGCTATGTCTGTAGATTCTAGTTAGTTTTCTTTGTAGAATTTCTGGAATTTTAATTTGTTATTACCAAAACATTGTTTAGCAGCATTTTAAAGCAATGCTATCTGCCACCTTCCAATCGGCGGGTGGCTGCGGTTTGGGGAGTCGGCGTATGAAAGGGGAAGACAAATAAGACAAGACAGACACATTGGGAAAGGGACTGAGCCGAAGTTCTTTATTGTAATAGGTAGGGGTTTATATAGGTTTAGTTAGTGGGGGAACGATGGGTACTTCTAGATTTGGTTATGTATGTAGTCCTGGTTTGTGATAGGCTAGTATTGTGAGGATGAAGTAGGAAGAAGGTGGAGAGTGAGATGAGTAAATTTTTTTGGAATGTGTGCACGTGTTAAATCGCCTCTGGTCTTTTGTATAGTTTCTCTTAATCAGCAAGGTTGTTAGGCGCCTCAGTGTTAAACTGTCTCTGGTCTTTTGTATTGTTTTTTTTAATTAGCAAGTTTGTTAGGCGCATCCTTCTAAGATGTACTTTTACTTGAATGTGCTGTAATATAGTTGTTAATCCTTACAGCTATCTCCTTATTTTGATAATAATTTTTTTTATTTGGATTGTCTATATTCTTTCTATATTTTGGAATTCAAAGGAAGGTATTTTAGTAGTTGGATTTTTAACATAATTTATGGGTGTTTCATAAAACAGGTATGTATCCTCTGCTGTTGGAGTTAAGAGTTAGATATAGATCAATGAGGTCTTTTTTCCTTCTTACTGGAGGAATTTCAGTTCATAATCTATGTACATATAGAGTGGAATTTTTGTTCATTAAGTTATGTATAAACTTTAACAAAATTGATTAAACTCTACTATTCTTCTCTACAAAATATATAAGGCACATTCCCACAAACAGAGTATGAATTGCTTCTTTTATCCTTTCTTCCAGTGGCTTAGTTTTTTAAAATTTTCCTCATTCCTTTATAGAAACTAATGAAACACCTAGGATTACAAAAGGAAAATAAAAAGAATCTAAACACAAAAAATAGCCTCACAATCCAAGTGACAAAGAATATATAGGAACTTTATAATAAAAATGTTGTTTTTCAAAACTCTAGAAATAGTAGGAACACAGCTAGGCTTCATGTGGGTCAG